TTACTTAAATAGAAGTTAAGTTAGATTTTTTAGACAGTTCTATGAACCAGGATATATAACTTGCATATGTTACACTCCTAGAAGGATCATGATTATTTATCACCACTACGAAATAATGCATGCATGAAGCTGCTAAATGTCAAGCATAGAAGCTAAACATGTAAGAATGGATAAGAATTTTTGAGGTTTCTCTAGAAGAAGAACTTAAATCATGTGTTTACATACTTACATGGTCTTTGAAACTATCTAAAAGTATTAGTAGTAGCGGTGGTGCATTAAGTTTTAATTCCTGTTGAATTAAGTGGTTCTCATGGCCCCGTTCGTGTGCCCTTAAACCCGGCTTGATCCGCTTCTTTTTTCATCCGGAACAGTGTTTTCCTCTCACAAATTCCTCAAGATTCATTCAGATTCCTCCGAGCGAACGGGGCCATATGTACTCATAGAAGAGTTGATGGTTAATTTATTAGCTTGAAGACTAATATAAAGTATATAATATTTTTAGTTGCAATTTTTACTTGCAGTAATATATATTAACTTTGCATGGAATAAATAAGATTTATATGTTTCACATATAAACAATTGCCATGTCTATCTAAATATGTTTTGCATTAATTAATTTTATCCACGAACAAGCCTCAATTAATCATGAAGGCCATATTTCTTTGTGCACCACTACCATATGTAGGTAGAAGAAAAACTAAATTTCTTAGAAGCACATGAACAATTGGACTATACTGGCTTATATAAACTGATCTTAGAAAGATCAAATTTAGCCAAGAAATAGTATAATCCATAAACTAAGTATTTAATACTTTAACCCAAAAACTTGAAGTTTATGTCTTACCCTGAATCTATATACATTGAATGTATACTTGATATGTGAATTTCATGCCAAAATCGAGGGGTAACTTGAAGTTATAAACCAGAAGCTGTGTTTAATAATAGTAAACTAAAATATTGTATACTATCAAGCTAAAATCCACGGAGAGGCCTATGGGTTCTAGTTTAATATATACTTGTTGAATAGAAATAAAATAAGAACAAACTCCTTCATTCTCATGAAGAGAACACCTCATGAAGAAGGTCAAGCACCTCATTTAGAGGTTCATCATGAAGATGAAATCCAACACACTAAGCGCGTGCATCATAGTGTTAGGTACGTAGAACAATAAATTATCTCTTGTTTAGTAAATAACAAAGTGACGAAATTATCTCATATTATGAGAATATTGGGAGAAAATAATAGTTGTCGACAACGCTACCTCTATAATTACAAATGTTTCTCTTATGAGAATCCGAATCCAAAAATAAAGTCCATGGCAAAGTCGCTTGTAGCGATTATATCCGATCAATGAAGAAGACAATTGAGGTAGTATCTCCTACTTAAGAAGAAATAAATGTTCTGCTATATCTCTCGCAAATGAAATAAATGAATATGAAATATGTAGTTAGTAAGTGGATTCTGGAAATCCATATAGTTCCTGAAGAATAGAAATCGCAACATATGGAAATTAAATCTAATATTAAGTATTAAGAAGTCTAAGGTAGAATATATTCCTGAATAAATATCAAAGTCTCAAGAAGAGCATGTCCTAGAAGGAATAGAGTCATTGAATGACTTTGTAGTGAATAACACTATCATTGTGTATATTTCATAATAATCTCTCATGCAGTAGAGAATATATCTCATAGAAGAGAAATATAATTCACCCAAAATGAGAACATCCTTGAAGGAAATAATCCATGAAGGATTTACCAGTCGACTCTTGAATAAACACCATTAATCCCTGAAGTGAATATAGACCGGTGAAAGAAAATGAGGAATCCAAAACACCATGAAGGTGTCATATAAACACTTAGAAAGTGCATATTGAAAAGCTAGCATTAAAGTGATGATATCCTCTAAATACCATAGAAGGTATAAGAATTATGGTGATTTTGGCAATTGAATTATCCCCTAAATGCCAAATACAAGACTGGATTTATTATTTAGTGGTGCAATCAGAATCCTGAAGATTTGTAGAACATATAATTTGAAAATTCACTAAGGATTAAGTGTAAGTATTTAAACTCAAGTATAAGTTTGATGCACTATCTAAAAGATATTGAATATTGTAAACTATTTACCCCCATAATCCCCTGAAAGGATTTATTATCCTAAAGGATAAATTTTATTTGTTTTGTACAACTAATAAGTGGTCATTTATGCATGAAGCATATTGCTCTTGTTTACTCATATTATAAATCATAGAAGAATTGTGAGCCAATATTTTGAAAGATATAGTACTGTGGTAATGTTTACCATTATTAAGCACACATTTATGAAAAGTGTGGTTTAAACAATGATGTTCAAAGGATGGCTTTATAAGGGGGAGCAATTTAATTGAATCTACCTTGAAGGTAATTAAAACCACTAGAATTACAAAGATCAAGTAGATTATTTTGCTAAAAGATTGAAGTTTATGCATTTATCATGAAGATAAAAATCTATTCATGATGAATAGAATATCCTGAAGTATACATGACCAAGAAGGTTAAATGTTGTACTCTTTTTTCCTATGTGAGTTTTTACTTGAAGGTTTGTCACATAAGGTTTTTAATGATACAACAAGTGCAATGCAATTAACGAATGCGATGTACTCTTTTCTCCAATAATCGTTTTTTCCCGGTGGATTTTCGGATAGAGTTTTTAATGAGGCATGTGCATATCGTGGTAATCGCCCAAGAGGGAGTGTTGTAAAACATACGTACTCTATCCTAGAAGGAAAGGAGAAGGAGGAATCCTAATCCTAGTCCGTTTGTATGTGTGCTCTTACCAAACTTTTAGGCTTTGGCAGGACTATATATACACGGGAGCTCTATATTGTAATCACCTATATTAAGGGAAATAAAGAATAGTCTCCCTATCTTGTGTCTATTTGTTCTCTAATTTTATCTACAGTGTTGATCATGAGAGACGGAGAGAGAAAGGTCTTAACCGCTGGCAATATGTTTTGTAATAGGTTAATTTGGTAGTAAATTGTAGGGATTCTAACTCTTGACCGTCGTAGATGATACTCCTAACTGTAATGTAATCTTTTGTTGCATGTAAAGCATTCTTTTTAGGAATTGCTAGCACCCGGACATTCGATGGGATTCCATCGGACGGTACTGAATAGCCCATTAGAAATGCGCCGCACTCCCACCATATCGCTGCAGTCCTTCGCCATCCCGCCCCGCGCGCATACCTCGCCCCGCCCTGCCCCGCGCCTGTCGTTCCTTCCTCATGACCCCCTTCTCTCTCTCTGCGTGAGCGGGACCTAGAAGTCGGGATGAGGATGAGCATGCCCCGTCCGTAGGATCCCACGCGTGTCGCGCGCCCCATCTGCCGCCCCCTAGCTCGCTGCGCCCCTTCTCCCGGTGCCCGGGCTGTGCCCTAATGACTCTCTGAACATACATCTAAAACACGAAACACTTGCAACATGAAACACTCAAATGCAACATACGTGTGAAGCAGATGAAACATTTGGAACATACACTTGCAACATGTGTGTGAAACATATGCAACATTCAGATAAAACACTTGCAACTTCAAATATCAAAACACACTGCAACATAAGACTGAAATAGCTGAAACTTTCGAACATACTCTTGCAATATATGTACGAAACATATGCAACATCTAGATAAAAAAATACTTGCAATATATGTCTGAAACAGATGAAACATTTTGAACAAACGCTTGCAACTTGCCTCCGAAAAACTTGCAACGAGCCTTTGGAACACTTTGTAACATATGCAACATCCTGGTCTACTTTTGCAACATCCATATGAAACACCTGCAACATACCTCAGGAACATCTGAAACACTAGAAACATACGCTTGCAACATGTGAGGCGCGACACTGTAGTCGGAGCGGCCACCATGTCAGGAGCATTGAGGAACTCGATAACCGCCTCAATGGGCAGATCGTGGCTGGGAGGTGGCTGAGCGACGAACACCTCGGGCTTGGCTGCCGCAAGCTTCTTCCACTGGGGGCACCTGGGTGCGCAGAGCCTCGATACGAGCATGAAGTAAGGCACGAGCGCGACGCCCTGGCGGTCTCTAGTCGCAGGAGGAGGCGACGAGGAGGACATCGGCGCCGGCTCTCGTGACGAGGGCAGGGGCAGGCGGAAGGCGTGACTCCAGCGGCGCACCCTGGCGTCGTGGTGGCGAGCGAGGGCCCCAAGGCGGAGGAAGCAGAGGTGGTCACCGCTGGAGAAGGCAAGTGACAGACGAATGGTAGGGAACGTCAAGGCCATGCTAGTTGGGATTGTCACCATTTTTTTTATTTTGAGAAACTGTGAAAGAAAGAAGATAAAGGGAAACAATTTATTGGGCTGGTAGTGTACAAGCCCAGAAAGCGCAATGTCCGGATGGTCGGACGCCCGCACCGTAGCATTTCCATTCTTTTTATCAGCCGGTGGGGTAAACAAATCAACATGTAAACTAGTATTGTCATTACCGCGTTTATGTTTCATATATGTTGTAGAGTATAAGTTGGTTGTACTCAGTATACTCATTACAATCCATGCATTGTTCGACGTTCCTACTGAATATTATCATAGATCAATTGTACACAAGAAAGAAATACATATACGTGTATACATTACTGTAAAAACGCATACTACACGTAGTGCACTATCATCATCATCATCAAACGCGAGATGCAGAGAACCACGTTGAACACACTTATATTAGCTGCACAAACAAATAAACCTACTTTTTATATATTACCAATATGTACATAGGAGTAAAGGTCGATACCCAGATTAAAAATTTTTAAAAAAATCTAGTACCAGGCTATAATATTTTTTTTTGTTTTTTCTCTTTTCTCTAGTACCAGCCTATAAAAGAATTTTTTTTTTGTTTTTCTCTCTTTTCTCTTTTTTTTTTGGGTTTTTCTTTCTTTTCTCTTTTTTTTGTTTTCTTTTCTGCTTGTATGTAATCTCTGCTACACACAAAATCTAAAAACTAAAAATCACTGTAGTCCGTCGATTATTCCCTCGAAGCCAGCGGCAGTGTCCTGCGAGAGGACGTGCAATCTCAAGATCGTATGTATGCGGTAGGCGGTGACGCTCTTCGTGCCGGCGAGCCACGGCAGGTCTTCCGCGGGCATCGCCGCGCCGAGGTTGGCGGCGACGCTTCTGAGGCCGACGTCGCGCAGGTCCGCGCGGCCGCAGTTCTCCGCCATGAACTTGGCGTCGAACACCCGTCCGCCGAGGAGTTCCCTGACCCGCGCCACGAACCCCTGCCTCGTCTCCGGCAGTGGCTGCCCGCCGTCGAGCATCTTGACGAGGTAGGCCAGGTCGTAGGCGCCGCCGAAGGCCACCCACGTCAGCTCGACGTCGCCGGCCCCGCGCGGCGCCGACGTCAGGATCTCGGCGAGCTTCGCGCCGAACGCCGCCGAGCTGACGCCGTGTGCGCGCGCCGCGTCGAAGTCGACTCCCTGCGACCGGAGGAACGCCACGGACTGCGCCGCGTGGCGGTCGCGGCCGACGTCGAAGTCCGAGAAGTCCACCTCCCAGGCGCGCTCGGCGTAGCCGTGGTAGTAGCCGTAGCGGTAGTCAGGGACGCAGGGTAGGTTGCCGTGGGCGTCGCAGAGCGTGACCCCGAGCTGCACGATGGGGAGCTCGTCCACGTTCGCCTTCACCAACGCGTACCGCTCGTCGGGGCTGAGGTCGCCGTCACGGCGCCCCGCGGGTGGGCGGTGCACGGTGCCGGGGTATTCTGTGTCGACGACGACGTAGGGGTAGCTCGGAAGCAAGGAGCCGATTATGTCTAGCTCCGCGGCGAAGTTGGCCGCCGTCACCGACTGCAGCTGCACCTGCACAGCGTGGACGGCGTGCATTGGGGCTGTGTTGCCGAAGCCGGCGGGTCCGCCGTAGTACGGCGGGTACGGCAGGGCAGCGGCGTACGGCGGCGGAAGGTGTATAGGCCCCCCGAACGGGCCGTATCCGATGCCACCATACGGTGGCGGCGGCGAGTACAGAATCATGGGCGGTGCGCCGCCGTTATTGCGCAACGGCCGCGGACGCGGAGCGCCGTACGGGAACATGGATGCGGACCTGATGATCTGTTGTTTCGTATTGGACGGGCTCAACTACGCTGGGAATCGACGGGCCCTGCTCTAGGTTCATGGCGGATGTATTATAAGTTTGGTAGGACCTCAGTTCGTAACCGATTAGTTGTAGGAGCTCGATCGAGTCCTTGACCTGGTCGGACACATGGTGTACACATATACGTACAATGCAAACGACATAATCTAGGAGTATAGACGTAATATAAATTTTCATCCACATAAACCACTAGTGTACTCGTTCTCCGCGTCCTTTTTTCCCGTTTCCGTCTCTGTTTTCCTCCTCGTTTCCGTCTCGCTCTCTCCCGCTCGTGGTGTTAGGGAGACGTCGAGGAAGGTGCCGCACTGCCGCCCGGCCCGTTCCATCATCCAGTGCCACCCCTGACCGTGATTTTTTTTTCTTTACTGAAGTACTCGTATCTCCGTTAGTTTTTTTTATTTATTTTTCTTTATTACTGAAGTATCTTCGTTAGTTTTTTATTTTTTTCTTTACTGAGGTATCTCCGTTTGCTTTTTATAAAGATACATAATAAATAATAATAATATTAGAAACTCTTGGAGATGGCATTTATTATTCTTTCTAATATTTTTTTGGGAGTCGCAAAAGTCCATGTTTTAGGGATAAAAAAATTGGGTACTCTTGGAGATGTTCTTATTACGGCAAAAATAAAACAACGCCAAAAAAATCCAATCCGAAAAAAAATATACGGCAAAAAAAACACCGCCCCAAATGCGATCCGAAATAAAAACATAAATACGGCAAAAAAATGTTATGGCAAAAAAATGTTTCTGAAAAAGAAGCATATACGGCAAAAAAAACATTTCAAAAACAAACTCTTACACATCGAAAATCATATACGGCAAAAAAAAATAAGAAAACCATTTCCGAAACAAACTCTTCCACATTCAAAAATCATATACACAACTGATGACAGGCCGATGAAACAAATCAGGCACATATTCAAACAGAGGACGCACATATTCGTACAAAGGTAATCTTTGCTCGCACTGACGAAACATATCAATAAACTCTTTCCGTGCAAAAATAAATCAATCTCCTAAAAAATCAAATAAAACAGTTTTAATAAGATATAAGAAGTTTATTAACTAAAGTAAACATATGCAAATAACAATTCACTCAAATTCGACTTAGATAGATATGGTGAACACAGGTGTTGCACTATAAAATTGAATTAATCGATTTCAAGTGATCATGTAAAGATCACTATTCATCCTTCACTCGACACGTGTTCGTGTTCTACCCAGTACTGATACAAAGACCAAATCTATATGTTCGCATCTGATATGAAGTCTTCGAAGCTCACGTGTTCGCGTCCTACCCGATTCCAATACAAAGACAAAATCTATGTGTCCGCATCCAGTATAAAGTCCTCGTAGCTCACATGTTCACATTCAAATATTAAGGTTCACTAAAAAAAATTTATCTAGTAAATAATAATTAATAAATACAATATTATGGGTCTTACCTAATAAATAAATATATTCTTACCACTAAATTGTTGTAGTTTTTTATTAGAAGTAAAATTTATTATATTATTTGTCATGTAGAAATCGAGAGAGGCGATCCCAGTCTTAATCATCAATGGATAGACCAATCTTTAACACGATGTCAACTAATCCCATTCTAACTGAAGGGACCGTGACGTCTAAGAAAAGGGTGGGATGAATTAGGCAACTTAAATCTACTTCTAACTATTGCCTCAAGTTTTCTCGTAGACAAAATCTATGCAGTAAATAATCTATCTAGATATGCAACTAACATTTTGCTAGGTGTGCTGTTATTTCTACCGCAAAAAAGTTATGCAACCTAGATTCCAATTCCGTCATTAGCCTAGAGCTAAACTAGGAAAGTAAGCACACACCTAGAAGCAATAAATAAAGTGCAAAAGCTTAATTGAGATAGAGATGCAAACCTCTGTCGATGACTTCAGTTTTTTATCGAGGTATCGAGAAGCTCACGCTTCCCCCTAGTCCTTGTTGGAGCCCCTCGCAATGATATCCTCGCAAGGGCCGAAATCCCGATCGGGTAACTCTGCGAATAGCGCCCGGGCCTTCCCTACACGCAAGTGGGTCTCTGAGATAGCCTCTCCCAGATCGCTCCTCGCTGTCTTCACAATCGAGCTTCTGGCCAAATCATCGTGGGCCTCGTCCCCTCCGGTACACAGTGGCGGCCACACCACAAACGCGGTTAGTGTGGTCTTGCAAGACTACAAGCCCCTCCGAGTACAATGACGGTGAGTGAAAGCACCTTATGGGCAATAGGTATGCAAGCGTCACTAACACTAGGCCTAAACATAGAGCAAGCGCATTAAGCAGTGGTCTAACTAGCCCAAACACTTCGCAAAGCACCTACACTAATCACCAAGTGATTCACTAAGCACTATGCATGTGTAGAGCACTAGAGTAGAGTCCAACTCCCTTGGTACGTTTCCCAACTCCCACACTCCAAACGACCGGTTTGGGGGTATGTATAGGCTCCCCATCCAAATAGAGCCGCTAGAAAAGGATGTCCACGCTCTGCTGGACCTAGCGGTCCAACCGTGGGTGCTGGCGGTCCGACCATGAGGAGCTCCAAGGGCTACTTCAATGGTCACCTTTAGCCGACAATCTCACATGTCATCAGCCCATTCCTGGCGGTCCCATCGATGGTCCTCACAGTCCCACCATGAGGCTCTGCTATAGTGTGAGCGCATCGTCCGAGGCTTCCTTGCCACAGTCTATCGGACCAACCAGTCCCTAGCGGTCCCACCGTGAGGCGCTGCAACAGTAGACCTTCTTCTTCATGCTTTAGTATTTTTGGCATAACTTTTAGCTCCGAACTCCGATTTTGATGATCTTGGACTTTTTGGAAAGCTAATTAAGAGCTCTAAAACTTTGATCTGATATCATATTAATTTGATCAAATCCTAAATCATGAGACAAGACCAATTCATTCATCTCTTTGTCTCAACTTCAATTTCATTTGTGTCTTCGCGTTTAGGCTTCTTCTTCTAGGTGTCTTAAACTTCTAGCACTCTTTTAGGCCTTCAACAATGCTCATAAGGTCTTGCTTAAGGTGTTTGATTATCCGGATCACCACTTTTGCCTAAGCACAAGTCCACCTTGCATCCATTTGAACTATACCTTGTATACTAGCAAACCTGTTCAACTCTCTTCTCTTTCGACTCCAAATAGTCTCAGAACTTCCTTCACAACTCTTATCACTATACCCATTTCTAATCCCTAGTAGAAACCTAAGCCCTTGGGCTTAGGAACATGATCAAAACACCCAACTATATGTAGGGATCTTGTCTAAATTAGTATAAATCTTGAGTCACTGAGTGCTAGGCCATCCCAAACAAAACATATGAAAACAAATTTGCTAGTCAGCAGTACGAAACACCAACACTAGGTTTGCACTCAACCCCATATATAGCCATGGCAGAATAACCTATAAGGCTAATGATTGCTAGCACCGCTCACGATGAAACATTTTTATTGATTGGAAACAACTACATGTCCTGGTAGTAGAAAAAACATGTTCTGTAAAGAATAAAATGTCCTCAAAGAAGAAAAAAACTATCCAAGGGTGCATACGATTTGCTACAAGTCACACACACAACATATAACATCCACATGAGGAATTTTCTATGGTAAGCATGCATGCACCCTGTCATGCTTCATGGTAAGTGTAGAATACTCCAAGATATTTTTGCATGTTAAAAACTATATAAGAAATGGATAAATATTAGGGAGATTATAGAAATATTCTGAGATATTTACCTCTGTGGCCCTGAAAAAAAATGCATCTTCCTTACATGGCCCTTTTTTATTGAACTTACCTGTGTGGCCCCAAAACAAAATTTTCTTCCTTCTATGGCCTTCCGTCCGTTTTTGGCAATTGACGGTGTTAAGTCAAGTGTAAAATGACCATGTTACCCCTCAACAACAACAACAACAAAGCTTTTTAGTCCCAAACAAGTTGGGGTAGGCTAGAGTTGAAACACAACATGAGCCCCTAGTCACGGTTCAGGCACGTCAATAGCCGCTTTCCAAGCACTCATATCCAAACAAAGGTCTCTAGGTATATCCAACCTTTCAAATCTGTTTTTATTGCGTCCCCCCATGTCAGCTTTGGTCTTCCTCTACCTCTCCTCACATTGATATCTCAACTTATGACTCTACAATGCATTGGTGCCCCTGAAGGTCTCCTTTGGACATGGCCAAACCACCTCAACCGATGTTGGACAAGCTTTTCTTCAATTGGTGCTACCACTAGCCGATCACGTATATCATCGTTCCAAACTCGGTCCATCCTTGTGTGACCACAAATCCAACACAACATACGCATTTCCACGGCACTTAGTTGTTGGACACGTCGTCTTTTTGTAGGCAAACATTCTGCTCCATACAACATAGTGGGTCTAATCGTCGTTCTATAAAACTTGACTTTGAGTTTTTGTGGTACCCTCTTGTCACAGAGAACGCCAGATGCTTGACGCCACTTCATCCACCCTGCTTTGATCCTATGGCTAACGTCTGCATCGATATCTCCATCCTTCTGTAGCATCGATCCTAGATAACGGAAAGTATCTTTCTTAGGCACCACTTGACCTTCCAAACTCACCTCTCCCTCCTTATGTGCAGCATTGCCAATGTCACATTTCATGTATTCTATTTTAGTTCGACTTACTCTAAAACCTTTGGACTCAAGGGTCTACCATCACAACTCTTGTTTCCTTTTTACTCCTGCCTGGCTTTCATCAACTAGCACTATATCGTCTGCAAAAAGCATACACCAAGTAGTGGCGGAGGGAGGGGGGCACTGGGGGGGCTAGCATCCCCTGACCCTCTGCGGCATCTGTAGTGGCCCCTGGTGGCCTGGGCCTCTACGGCTTTGCCTGACACCCCCTGGCGGCCTAGGCGCCTGTCACCCTGTCCCTGGTGGCCTGGCCCAATAAAAAATTAAGAAGCCTCTG